CTACTGACTGGACTCCGCTACACCGCTCTGACGGATTGAAGCAGCGGCCGAATCACCAGCTCTGTGCATTAGCTTAATCGGCCCTGCTGTAATAAGCTACTGCTTGGCCCCGACATTGCGGACCAGGAACAGCAAGCAGGTGCTTTCAGGGGGAGCAATGTGCTTCTAAATACCACCCCCCACCATCGAGCGCAAGCTTGGCCAAAGGAGTATTTTGCCGTGCACTCGTCCGTGGCCCATCCCTGTTGTTTTCATACCTTTCTCGGCCTTTTGGCTCAGATCATGTGTAGTATCTGTTCTTATTAGCTTAATCGCTAATATGGTCCTCATTGAGGACCTGCGATTAACTTGAATATTTCTCGGGGGCTTGTCAATGGTGCGCTTGCGAATCCGACTTGCCAGCATGGTTGCGGCCTTACACTACCGCTGCAGCCGTGCACCCGCCCATACGAAAATGTACAACTGGGCTGGAGGATGCCGTGCGCTGCTGAGCTGTGCTGTGCTGATCGCTGTGCTGTGCTGATCGCTGTGCTGTGCTGTGCCCATCCATCTGCATGCTTGTAAACCCAGCTGTAAGCTCGTCCAACGTGTGCAGTACCTGACGTGCTCGTGGTAACCATTCCATCAGTCACCGCCCCGCGCCGCGTGGGAACGACTTCAATCAGGCATCGTACATTACTCGTACGACACCGTACGTACAGCAAAAGGAGGACCGAGCGGATTTGTGCACATGGCCTAGGTAATAGGGTGTGGCGGCCGCTTGATCATGACGCCGGTCGTTATTTGCATATGTAGAGGTAGGTACCCCGGTAGGTAAGTAGGTAGAGGGCCGATGTGATTGTGGATAGGGAGGCTGCAGGAAGGCAGGAAAGCAGCAGGAAGAGAGGCTTGTGATGGCTGCACACCGCCCTGTGAAACCCCCTGATACCCCATGCACGCCTCGCTGTGCTGTGTTTTCCTGTCCGGGTACAGATGCCCTTCCTTGGCCCGTACGTGTTCGATGTGGATGCTGTGGATTCCAACCCCTGCGCATGGCATGGCCGCGGCGGCCTCACGGTTGGCTAGCGCCAAGTGTCCATTACAGGGCACACGTTGCTTTTACAATGCCAAGCCTTTATTACAGCCAAATCTTTGTTTTCTTGAGTAGTTGCCTTACCGCT